TGGACTGGGTTGCAGAGGGTGCAGGGATCAGATCCCTCCTGGTTTGGGATGCGGAGACCTCTCAGCTCAGGGCCAGGTCCCTCCCAGATCCAGGTGGATCGGCCGGGATTGATCCTTTTTTGGGATGTGGGTTGTTCCGTTGGGCCCCTCCTGGATCCAGGCGCAGATCCCTCCCGGTTCGGGATGCGGGTGCCTGGGTCAGGTATCTCACAGATCCAGGTGCAGATCCCTCTTGGTGCCAGTTGCAGGGGGTTCGGGGACCCTCCTGGTGCCGGGTTGGAGCCGACTTGGAAAGTGACTCCTTCCCAGCTCGGTTCCCTCCCGGCTCGGAATGCGGCTCCCTCCTGGCTCGTTCCCTCCCGGCTCGGGATGTGGCTCCCTCCCGGCTCGGTTCCCTCCCGGTTCGGGATCCGGCCTCTTCCTGACTCCTTCCCAGTTCGAGATGCGGCTCCCTCCCGGCTTGGCTCCTTCCCGACTAGGGATGCAGCTCCCTCCTGGTTCTTCTCCTTTCCGTTTCGGGATGCAGCTCCCTCCCGGCTCGGTTCCCTCCCGGCTCGGAATGCGGCTCCCTCCCGGCTCGGTTCCCTCCCGGCTCGGAATGCGGCTCCCTCCCGGCTCGGTTCCCTCCCGGCTCGGAATGCGGCTCCCTCCCGGCTCGGTTCCCTCCCGGCTCGGAATGCGGCTCCCTCCCGGCTCGGTTCCCTCCCGGCTCGGAATGCGGCTCCCTCCCGGCTCGGTTCCCTCCCGGCTCGGAATGCGGCTCCCTCCCGGCTCGGTTCCCTCCCGGCTCGGAATGCGGCTCCCTCCCGGCTCGGTTCCCTCCCGGCTCGGAATGCGGCTCCCTCCCGGCTCGGTTCCCTCCCGGCCCGGGATTGATCCGCTCCGCCCGGGCTCCGCTCCGGGAGCCGGAGCGGCGCTGGGGGCAAAGGGATGGAAAACGGGATGTTTGCGCCAACGGCGACGCTGTAAAACCCGCATCGACCTTTCCCACCCCGGCGGCCGGGAAAGGGTTAAAAAAGAAGCGACCTCCTCTTAAAAACGAGCCTCTACCACCGGCTTGCTGGAAGGATGCTGCAAAACGGCTCCGGAATTATCTTCCCGGGAGGCGGAGCGGCGCTGGGGGCAAAGGGATGGAAAACGGGATGTTTGCGCCAACGGCGACGCTGTAAAACCCGCATCGACCTTTCCCACCCCGGCGGCCGGGAAAGGGTTAAAAAAGAAGCGACCTCCTCTTAAAAACGAGCCTCTACCACCGGCTTGCTGGAAGGATGCTGCAAAACGGCTCCGGAATTATCTTCCCGGGAGGCAGGCTCCGAAATGGGGAGACGAGGGCTGAGCTGGTGGTGACAGCTCCGCTTCCCGGTATTCCAGCTCCATGGCCAGGCCGGGGTTGGATTGCACCCTGGCTCGGCGGCAAAGCAGCCGGAGCGTTTTCATCCTGGGTGAATAAGGAGCGAAGGCTCCCGAAGGTGCCGGAGCGCTTCCCGCATCCCGCTCCGTGGCGCGGATGCTCCTGGACCACTCGATGGCAGCATCGCCTTAAAATCTGCCCAGGCGACGGCAGCTGGGACTGGCAACGGCTCCGGAGGGGACCCGGCGGTGCCAGGGTGTCCTGCCTTGGTATTCCTGGTCGGATGAAGCAGGCGGTGTTGGAGAGCCTGGCAGCAGCCACACAAGGAATTGAAACTGATGTCCGAAATAAAGTAGCCAGCAGTGGAGGGAACGGGGGGATCTCCAGGCTTTCGGCTGCTCCAGCCTCTCTATTCCGGAGGGAATTGTATCCCAAAGGGGGTGTTTTTCCAGGTGTGGGAAGAGTGACGGGCTCCCCCAGCCAAAGCCCTTCCTTCCTCTCTCCGTGCCTCTCAGCAGCTCACGGAAAGAAATGCCTTTCCTAAAGGAAAAGGCATTGGAAGGGGCACAGAGGCCGCTAACCTTGTGTCTTCCCGTCGCGTTATCCGGGACGCCGCGGAGCCGCTTCCCGGCTGTGCCGAGCGCCCCTGGGGAGCAAAGGCCGGGCCTTGCCCTCGGCACAGGGATTTCGCACGGCCTTTGTGTGGGATTTACGTGGCTTTGCCCCCGTGCAAGGGCGCCAGCACCGCTGGATGCCCAGGGCAACATCTGTCCATGGTTCCAGATGTTGGGAATTGGAAACGGTCCACAGGGTTTTCCTGCAAAGACCCCCCGGGAAGTTTTTTCCCAAGCTCCTGCTTGCAATTAATCTAGGGATAAAATATCTCTAGGAGCCACAGAAATGGGACCTCTGCAAGCTGCCCCCTCCCTTGTGCCCTCTGGATTTCTCCTCTTTCCCCCCAAAAAAGCAGCCGGGAATGGGCAAGTTGAGGATTTATCCCAGGAGCCGCCACAGGGCGCAGCAGCAACTCAAGCAGGGAGCTCGAGTGGCCTCTTGCTGCTGGAAATGAAATTGTGGCTTTTTTATTTCCCCCTTTTGATTTTTTCCCTTTTGCAGAACCATTTTTCTGGAGAAGCCGGGCAGGAAATCGAGGTCGTGTCCGGGCAGGAAAAAGGTTGGATGTCACAGGGAATTACCGGAGCAGGACGGCATGTGGCTCCCTGTGGTTTAACCAAAGGCGCAAAGCGACGCTCGGGAGCATCGGGAACAGGGAGCGAAGGCGGCTGCTCCCCGTGTGCTGCCGCAATCCGGAGTCACTCCGGACCTCAGTTTTGTTTATCCATGACAGTCCCACTTCCAGCTTCTTAAGTGGGGAAGAGGTGGTTTTGCAAATGCCTTGCTCGGTTTTCCCTGTCTTGCAGGTATCCTCGGGACAGGTCCTCCGCTCCCCCCTTCTCCATGGATTTGGGAATGTGCAGCAGTGACCCGAGGCCAAATTCCAGTCGCTGAGCAGCTTTTCATCCCTTTTTGTTTTCCACCAGGGCTCTTGCGTGAGGCGAAGGCATCGGGCGCATTCCGGGATCTTGGAGCATTGCCGGGCACAGCGGAGCAGGGAGAAGCTGAGATTTGTATTTTCTGTCTTGGAAGGTATTTATTTTATTTATTTTATTTATTTTATTTATTTTTTTATTTTTTTTTAAACCTAACAGGCATTTATTTCATTTTTATTTTAAACCTAATGGGTATTTACTTCATTTTCCTTTTTTTATTTATTATTTCTCCCTGGAAGGGAATGACAAGCAGGAGATGCAGCGAACGAAGTGAAAATATCAGAGTGTATTGGCAAAATGCCTGTTTTGGGATGCGCAGAACGTCCCGTTTCCGACCTGGTGCTCCCAAGTTTCCTACAAAATCTTTCCAGGCTCCGCTATCCCCCCGGAACAACATTAGTGCAGCCTCCGCTCCCGCTCGCCGCTGCTTTCCGCGTGCCGGCCTCTCTCCGCTCCGTAAATCCCAATGGTGACGGCGTTTTCCATGAGGAGCGGAGCTTGGCCGGCGTTTTTGCTCGGTGCTGGATCCTCGTCCTGCCCCGAACGTGGCAGGTTGCTCTTCCAAAAGTGGAAGCGACGCTTTTCCGGGCTCTAGTGACTCTTAAAAGTTGCTTTTTGGGGTTTATTCCCCCAAAAAAGCTCCAACAGGGAGCAAAGAAATCTAGGATCTGCAGGAGACACCGGCTGCAGGATGAAGGCCAGCAGCGATGCTGGAGCCGCCCTTTGCCTTCGCATCCCAGCCTCACAGGGAATCACAGCGCTCGTCCCGGGAAAGCCGGACTCCGGAATCCATCCCTCTTTTCACTCCTTTGAGTTATTTTGCCGCCGGGTCGGGGCGGGATGAGCTGCCTCCTCCTCCTCTTCCTCGGGATGCGCTGGCGGCCGGAGGAAGGGCCTGATTAGATAATTGCATCAGCAGCAGCTCCAACAACTGTCAGCACGGATCAAGCTCCCGGAGCCAGGAGATAGAAAAGACCTTTATTATCTCCCCCCATTTTCCGCGCGGGAAAGGCTGCTGTGACGGATAATGATTTAAGGGAAGGAGATGGGGAGGGTGTAATTAATGCCAGCGCACGAGGAGCCTTCAAAAGGAGGTTTTCTTCTGCTGCCTCCATCCTTTTTATCATTATTTGATTATTCTCTACAGGATGCGGCAGGAATTTGAGGCTGTTTAATTCTTTTCCTCCCCAACCTGCGTCTTGCCCCTCTTAGATATCAAAGAGCAGCATTTTCCGCTCAGCTCCGAGCGCGTCGCTCCGCCCGTCTCCTCCTTTCCTTGGATTTCGGAGCGTGCCCGAAGCTCGGGCACTCTTGGATGCATAAATTTGGTTTAATCCGACCTGCAGGATGAAATTCAGGAATCCTGGGCTTGGAGGAAGGGTTTGTGCCTTGCTGCCCCCTCTCCTCTATCCGCCCGGTGAGACGTTCCCTCTCCCTGCTTTACATGCAATATTATTATTGTTCTTATTTTCTTTCCAAACAGGATCCAAATTCCTTGTTCTCCCCTGAAATCAGGTTGTTGGGAGGGAAGGGACCGGGAATGTCCCCTGCTCATCTCCCTGCTCTTTGCTCCACAGCTCCGTGGCCTGCAGGAATTCTGTCCGGGAATCCGGGACCCGCTCTGGCTCGTGGCTTGGACCATTTCCCACCCACCCAAATGTCACCATCCCACTCGTGCCTGGGGTTATTTTTCCTTGTCGGATGATGGCTTTTCCTGACCACGGTGCGGGCTGGGTGCTACCACAGAGGATGCAGAGGGTTACGTTGCCTTCCCGAGCCAAAATCGGCTTTTTTAGGGTAGAAAAGGGGCTGTTTTTGCTTTTTCTTTAAAATTTCCCCCCTCCCTTAGTCGCGTTTGATGGCAGCTTCCCCCAACGTGCACTAGAGCATCTGGTGCAAGAGGGACCTGCAAGGCCAGGGGCTTCCTCCCTGCTCCGTTTTTTTGGCTTCCTGAGGTGCAAAAGCTTTTAATTTCCCAGGAAAAAACACCATTTCCAGGCATAAGCAGCCGGCGGGGGGCTGATTGCAGCCTGGTTTTGCCTTGGCCCTGTGGTCGGGAGTTTTGGGCTAGGGGCAGGGGGGGAAAAAATGGCTTAAAAACTTATTGTATTGGGGGAAAAGGGGAAAAACGGCCTCAAAATGTCCTGAGGGTAAATACATTTCTCAGGCTCCCTTTGAGGGCTGGATTTTCCCTCCTGAGCTGCGGGATTTCTGCAGCCCTGTAGATTTATTACTTATTTAGCATATGGGAGGCAGGTACCATGGATTAAATATCGATGCCTGCAAAGGAGGGGTGTAAGAGCGGGACGCGCGTTATCCCCATCGGAATCCCCATCCCGGCGGTTTGGACCCCACGGCATCGGGAACGGCGGGATGCTTTTCCCTGCGGGATGGGAAAGGTGCAAGGAGGTGCCGGGATTTACTGCAGGTTATTTAAGATGAAGGGTGACAACTTTTGTCTTTGGGGTCCTGGCGCCAAACGGGGATCAGATCCCGCCAATCCTGCCACGATGAACAAATAAATAAGGACAAACAGGAGGCTGGGAGCAGCGAGAGCGGAGGAGCTTCTGTTCTGAGCCTTAATTTGCAATTATAAACACGCTGCCTGGCAAAACCTGTTTTTGCGGGCGCTTTTTGGCACGCACCCACCTAAATTGCAAGCAGAGATAGGATGAAGCAGCAGCTGCCCGAGCCCGTGCTGGGAGAGGTGCAAACGTGAGCGTGTTCGCCTGGTTTGGGGAAGAATTTGGGTGCATTTTGGAGCATCGTTGAGCTGGGAGGGGGAAAAAGGCACGGGCTAAATTCTCTGTCTTGTCTCTGCAGGGATTTTATGCGAACGGAGCTGTCGGTGCAGGAGGCCAAGCTGGAGGAGAGGAGCAACAGGGACAGCTTGAAACGCCAGTGACTGGTGAGGAAACGGAGGGGACCTGGCGCACAAACTGCTGCTCCTTCATCTCTCCATCGACATCCCCATGACAACAGGCACATTTGGGATTTTTCCCTGCTCGGCAGCCCCGCGGGGTCCGGCCGGGGGCCCTGTGCGGCTCCATAGGGAAGGTAGCATCCACACGCACGGCCCTGAGCATCCCAGCAGTTTTCCCAGCTGCTGCTTTGCTCTAGGGAATTGCGGCAAGATCCCATGGGAAAACCTCACGGACGAGGCTTTTCCATGACGGGAAACCCCAGAGCAGAACCGGAGCGAGCGCCGCTTCTCCCGGGCTGCTCCGGAGCCCCTTCCACCCCATCCCAGCGCTTTCGGACCAGGCAACCTGGACAAAAACTTCGAATCCCATTTTTTTCCCCTTTCCGGATGCTCATCCAGGCCATCCGCGCATGGCAGGAAAGAGGCAGGAAAACCCTCCTGGCGGCGAAGGTGGCGAGGCCGAAGGCCCGGGTTAATGATTGCCGAGGGCTCGTTGCCCGTCGGCTGTTAATGATTAAAGGCGGCGGCGCAGAAAGCGTCGCTTTTTCTTCCCGTTTTGCTTCTTCCCCTTGGGCCAATGCAGCTGCGTGAATATGTGGGGTTTATTTTCCCCCTCTTTGGCACTAGTTCCTAGGGGTTTTCCTCCTTCGGTCGCAGCCTTCCGCCGGGAACCGGCCCTTCTTCCTCGTTCCGCCTCCGGATAATCCCCTCCGCAGCCTTGCACGTGCTCCTGGCACTCCTGGTTTGCTTTCAAACTCTTTATATATATATATATGTATAATTTCTGCATGCTAGCTGTGCATTTGTGCAGAGGCAGAGCCGGGACACCCTTTCGCCCGCGTTTCCTCGTTCCGGCAGCGCCGCTCGACCTCCGTTTTTATCCCCGCTGCCAACATGATCCGGGACGGCGGCTGCAGAGATTCCCCCCTCTACTACTACGGCATCAAATTCGCCCTGTCCGCCTACGCCACCCTCTTCTCGGTAGGTGCTGCCCCTTAAAAACACCCTTTAAAAGCTCCTCTGCAATGGAAGGAGCGTTTGGTAAATTTGCTGCAATGTGGGAGCCCGCAGCCCTTGAGCCGGTTCTGCATTAATTAATTAAAAGAAGTGGGTCCTCCTGATTAGCACAACGTTCAGGGGGACCATGTGGAGCTGCATTAACGTCCCCCCCGCTGCTGTGGTATCCCGAGGTGCTTCCCAGGATGCTGCATTGGAAAACATTGGATTGGGCCTAATCCTGGTGTGCGGAGCTTAAGATCAAGTTGTGACAGCGATTACAAAGCTCATTATTAGCCACAGACCTGCTGCTTGGGTTGCAAATAGCTAAACTGCCTGTAAAATGGCTCAGCTTCATTTTTTTGGGATGTCTGGATTCCTTTGGAAATGATGGAGCTGGGAAGCACATGCTGATTGATGGGCAACGAGCTGCCTGCTAATCGTGCTCCAGAAATAGCCTCCCAACGTGGCAGGAAAGAAAAAGAATAAAAAAAAACCAGGATTCTGCATTGAAATCAAGGATGGAGTTAGCAGAGTTGGAGGGTTTGAGCAAATCCGTGGGGATGCTGGAGACGGGAAAGCATTTGGGAAGGTGAAGCCTTTGCAGGGGGAAAAGCAAGAAACTCCCGGACCGCCCGGCCTGCAAATCCCTCCTCTGGCCTGGAAAAGCGGATCCATGCCATCGCGATGGGATTGGGGTGAAATCCTGCCTTTTCCGGACCTTCCTCGGCAGCTGGGAACATCCCCCCCGCTCCAGGGTGGGAATTGGGCTGCACGGGCTGTCGCTCTCCAGCTTTTTCCCCCCGTTCCTTAATTTCTCGGCGCGTTTTGGGCTTATTTTTGCAGCTGCTGGGCCTGGCCATCCTGTGCGTGGGCGTCTATGCCGAGGTGGAGCGGCAGAGGCACAAGACGCTCGAGGGCATCTTCGTGGCGCCGGCCGTGCTCCTGCTGCTGCTCGGAGCCACCATGTTCAGCGTCTCCTTCGTGGGCACCGTGGGCAGCCTCCGCGACAACCGCGCGCTGCTCAAGGCGGTGAGGCCGCCGTTTTGGGGCGTTTCGGGGCGTTTTGGGGAGCTGTCACCTCCAGGAGGGTGCACGCACCCTAATGCACCATCCACGGGTTGTTCCCGGCCGCTTTCACTGCGTTTTCACCCGTTGCTTTTGCATCCATCAAGTGGTCACGGCACCTTCCCCGCCACCGCATCCCATGCAGCCCAATTCCCTATCCGTCACCTTCTCCCCAGGTGCCAAGCTGTTTTGCTCTCGGGGTCCCTCCTTTATTCTCTCCTTCAAACCAGCTGTGAAAACGCTATTTTTCCTCCAGGATAAAGCCTGGGAAAACATTTTTTCCCCTGCCAAAGCTGCAATTATATTGCTGCTAGAGCACCCTTCATCTCTTTCTTTGTGTGCTCCCGAAGCTCTGCAGCATCGCGTTCGTTCCGCCTAGGATTATTCAGGAGAGGGATAATTATTTCAAATATCATCTTATTTCTCCCCCTACCTTTATTCTTTCCATGCTGGTACTCGTGATTCTCCTCTAATCCTCTCTTTTCCCCAATCTGGCTCAAGTACAACCGTAGAAAATCAACACGTGCTGGAAGGGGAACCTGGTCCTGGTCCTGCAGTGCCCGGTGGGATTTTTATTCCCATTCCAAGGGGTATCCAGCTGCAGGATGTTGGCTCCTGGCTCTGCATCCCAGTTTTTTCTTGCATGCATGAAACTTGGGGTGCTCTGACTGGAAAAAGTCGCTTCCTGTTGAATTTACTGGGAAAAACCTCTTGGAAGGGCCATTTTAGTGCACGAGTTTTGCAATAAGAGCGGGATCCGCGTAGTGGGATTTTCCCGGTGCAGCCTCTGCCCGTTGCACCCTCGGGCAGCCTGAGCCAAGGACGAGCATCCTCCTCCCCAACCGCAGCTCCCCAATCCACGCTGCAACATCTCTGCATCTAAAAACTGCACAGGATAGAAAATTACATTGGATAAAGCCCTCTGCCTCCAAAGAAAAACATTTCCAGGCCTTAAATCAGCTCCTGCGATGGCACTTGGCGTTAATAACCAGCTGGAGAAGATGTCGTGGGTGGAGGCGTAGGCGCCTGTTCAGTTCTTCCATCCCCTTCATTTAGTGCCGGCTGATGCCTTTTATTTTTTCCCCTCCTTTTGCCGGGATTCGGGAAGGCAAAGCAGTCACGGGAGGCGCCGACCCGCTCAATCTGCCGCGTGATCTATTATTCCAATATCGGCCCTGCAAGATGCCGGAGCCAAAATTGCATTTTGGTTTTAATCTTTTCCACGTCTCTCCGGAGCCTCCCGAGCCGTCGGGCTAATTGGCCCGCGCTGGCCCACGGGCTCGCGCTGCTTTAATTACTTGTCTAATATCCGACGTGCGGCCGTTCCGATACAATTCCCACCTGCTCGCCGCTCTCGGTGCGGATTTATTAGGAAGAGGAACGTGAGAGCGGAGCTCGGGGTTTGGGCTCGGAGTGCGTTTAATCCGCGTTCCGGAGCTCGGTTTAATCGGTCGCTGAGGGGATTTCGGCCGGGGAATCCGTTCCGAAGCGTTCTCGCCCATAGCGGTTTGCAAAGCTCAGCTCGCGGTGCAAATTGTCCCCAAAACGCCCCCAAATTGGCTGATTTATTCCCCAAAACGCCCCCAAACCGGCTGATTTATTCCCCTCCTGCCATCTTGGTGCCCCTGATTCTTCCCAGGGCGGCTAAATCGCCTGAAAATGGGGAAAAAAACAAGGAGAAACGTTTCTGCTGTGCAAAGCACAGCACCTACGTCAGCACATAGCCGCATATAGGGCGCATCCAACGTGCACATGTCTATAGTTATCCATGCATCTATATAACGTGTATCCTATAGACTGCCAGGGGATCCGGGGTGATTCCCAGCCGTGGTTTGGGTCGGGATCCAGGTGTCTTGGAGCAAGCCGGTTTTATCGGGGCTTGCCAGGCTGCGGCTCCGCCTGCTCCGGTGCTTCTCTCCCGCGCTCACTTTGGCTTCGGATGAGATTTGGAGAGCCAAATGCGTGGCCCATCCTTCCGTGTTTCCCCATGGAAGCCGATGAGGGATCCAGCACAGAGCCAGGAGACCCGCTGCGACGCAGCGTGCCGAAATCCCACGGATTTACACTCGTTTGCAAAGCGGGATTCCAGCACAGAACCCAATGCCAACACAGGCAGCGCAGCCTGAATCATATGACAGTGTCCTTATAGTTTTTATAGTATTTTTATAGTATTTTTATAGCGGCGACACTTTGTTCTAACCCCTCGTCGTTCCCACGCAGTTTTTCTGCATCCTCCTGGCGCTCTTCATCACGCAGCTGCTCCTCATCCTCGCCGAGATCATCTTTGAGAACAAGGTGAGCGCGATTCCGCGATTCCGGGTGGGAAAGGACCGGGATAGGAAGCACCAAACCTTGCGGGCCAAGAAACAGGGTCGCGAGCGCTTGGATTCTCCCTCTGGCCTAAAAATTCTCGCCCTGTCATAGGAAAAATAATTCCTGCTCTTTTTTCCCTCCCATGCAGATGAACGCCGTTTTCCACTCCAATATCCAAGAGGGCATTAGACACTATTATGATGACCTCGACTTCAAGAACATCTTGGATTTTGTGCAAGAAAAGGTCAGCCCTTATGCTGGGAGGCCTATGCTTTAGATATCTTAGGATATCCATATATATCTCAAAGACTAACATATATATATGTGCATGTGTGTATATATATATATGTATATGTTTATTCTAAGATGTAAGGATTGCAGTTGAGCCTCGCTGCAGCTGGATTAAACACCAAGGTGCTCCCGTTCAGCTCCCCGGGTTCTTTTTGCACGGGCCATTTTGCTTTCCAAGCCGACCTCGGGTGTTTAAACCAGGGTTTTCTCCTTTGCAGAGCCCAGTTTTGTCACTGTGCAAGTTGCAGGGTCCATCAGAGCCCTAAACCGAGCGCTGCTTTAGACGAGACCGAGCTGCCTCCGTGTAAATCAGTGCTTTAAACCATAGCAAAAACCAGGTGCAATAACGGGTTCTTTGCTGCATATGAGAAATGCTTTAAAGCACCAGGCAGGGCTATTTTGCTTTATAGCCCAAATTATTCAGGTTTGCCCCTAGGCGCCTACTCTAGATGCTTGGTTAGTCAATAGGTGGGTATATAGATATATGAGTGTATATATATGTGTAAGTGCAGCGTAAAGGAGGTTACCATCAAGCACAAACCTCTCCCGCCTGCTGCAGGGAGGCTTTTATACCCAAGACACAGAGCCACAACCTTGTTTACGGAGAGGAGCGATGACAGCCCGGATAAAAACCCGGCTTTTATCCTGCAGGATCAGAAAACGGCTCTTTCATTAAAGCCGTTTTCCTCCCTCCTTCCTTTCCCTGAACCCAGGCTAAAAAGCAGCTTCGCAGCCGCTCCAGCTCTAATTTAACGAGACGTCGAGAGAAACCCCCGCTCTCCTCGCGGCGTCTTCCTTAGCCTGAAGGAGCCGAGAAATATATTCATTAAAGGCACTAAGACTGGATTAGTGAGAGTGGATCTGCCAGAGGGTTGGAAACGCTCGGTTTTCCTTATTGCATTTATTTCTCATTTTTTCCCCCAGTTTTCCTGCTGCGGCGGTGACGAGTACAGCGACTGGCGGGTGAACCTGTACCACGCGTGCAACGGCAGCGGCCCGCTGGCCTGCGGGGTGCCCTACACGTGCTGCGTCCGCAAGGTAGCACCGGAGCGCGGATTCGGGGGCAGAATCCCTGGAAAAGGCCAAAAAAAGTGCAGGAAATAGGTGCAAGCAGCAGTATGGATTATTCGGCTCTGCCTTTTCCATGGAGCAAAGGAATCCCAGTAAGGCGCTGCTAATTGCATTCGGTTTTGCATTTTGCAATATTGCAATTAATATGCAATTGCAATTAATACGCAATATGCAGTTAACAAATGCAAATTTGTTAACTGGTAAAACTTTGCAGGAAAAGCAGGGTTTGCAGGCAAAAATCACCCAGAGCCCTGAAGTCACGT